ATCAGAATTCAGAAATGGAAACACTGTATGATTTTACTTGGGCTTGTATGACCGTGTTGGACCAAACTTCGATAGAAACTATCAATTATAACAACAAAATTATGAATATCATTTCTATCTATTTTCCTAATTTTATAATTTTCTTAATACAAAAATCACATTCTTTACCCATTTCAATTTTCAGCGTCCTGGAAACATAGTTGTTAACTACCTCGTACCCAATCCTGTTAACTATCTCGTACCCAATCCTATCGTTAATGAGTTTTTTTTAATGACATATATGTTAATGTTAAAAACTTAACAAAAATGATAAATAGTTGTGCGTATATTAATTATGTTTTTTAACAAATTTTTGTCACAAAATATTATATTTAATTTGATTCAAATATTTTTGCACTGATATCTCGATTTTAATATTTATAAATGATAATTTTTTTTTTTTTGTAATGATAAATAATTCTTTTATAACAAATTAGTTTGTAATTATAACATATATTAGTAAATATAATGACTAAAGTTTTTTATGACAAACATGTCTATCACGATAAAAAATTTATCTCAATGCTTAAATTTTGATTCGAATTTTTTTTCATTAATATCTCTATTTCAACATATATTATGATAATTTTTTTTTTGTAATAATAAATAAATTCTTTTATGATAAAATAATTTGTAATAATATGTATAACTAAATCTAGTGACTAAAATGTTTTATAACAAAATATGTTTGTCACAATAAACAATTTACCTAGGCACCAAAAAATTGTAACAAAATATTATGATAAAAATGTTTTTCTTCACTATATTTTTTATGGGTTTCTTAATTGTAAAAAACTATTATGATAATATATTTTTTAGTACTGTATACCCTCTTTGTCATACTTAATATGATGTTTCTTTATTTTATCATAATATCTATATTATTAATGACAAAATAACTTTTGGTAAAATTAATTTTGTTACAATATAATATATTTCTTGTAATGGTATTATGTGCATGAAATCACTATGAATTTTTTAGCTTACTCAGAACGTGTGAAATGAAGAACATACCGAAGAAAGGAGATCTTGATTTGAATGCCATAATAATCTAGGGGCGTGTTAGTGTTGAGGTTGGGCTGGGTAAGCTGAGTTGGGGCCCGAGTTGGACATTTTCTTTTTATATTATATATAAAAAAAATGGTCATCGCCACTTTAGCAGCACGAAAGGATTATCTTAGTATTCGATTTGGCTTAAATAAGTAAGACTTAAAAAGTATAGGGTATATTTGTTTTTACCACTTAAATCTAAAATCTAATTAGAATTATAAATTTGATTGTTGTTTTAGGTGAACTAAAACCTGGTTAATTAAAAAATAATTAGGTATCTATCACTCAAGTTGATATGAAAATGATCTTTAAAACTTTTCTCTGGATTTAGAGATAAGTTCCATCGTCCATTGAACTTAGCTAGCATGTCGTGAACGTAATGTGGACTAGAAGGGGCATAATCTAATTTGATTAAACTTTATAATTTTATATTAATTTTGTACATACAGTTGGTGATTAATTACATAATTCCAAAACCAATTAATTAAAAATGATTACTACAATACAAATATTAAAATTATTGACAGTGAATGCCAACTAATAAAAACAGGCATAAGACCGTTAATATTGCCGCGTGCGACTTTATATATTTATTTATATTTCAAAATTTTAACATATGATAAGTTTTAAAATAAATTATCCTCAGAACTAGCTAAATTACAAGCGAAAAGACAAGACAATTTAATTAATTTACTACTTGTTTAATTTGGATTGATTCTTCGAACTTATCCAGTCGTTGGATTAGATTGATGGCGTTGAATTGAATTTTCGTTGCAAGTACTGCTACATGTTTTGGACATATTCCATTCGAATACATAAATTCCAAAAGTTGGTAACAAATCATTAATACAGTACAAAACTTGATTAGTTAGCTGCCAGTCAAATTAAATGTATCAAAGCTTATAATAAATTTAAATCCTGAAGGTCTATTATTTCCTTAGTTTATACTTTTTATCCTCCATGCATTGGCCATTTTATTCAAATGAAATTTGTGCTGCCAGAAACAGTAAGTCAATTTTCAAAACAGTGTGCTGTTTTCTTTTGTTTAGGGTTTAGTAAAAAGCGACTTTTTTTTTTTTTTTTCCCAATTCAACCCACATGTTGGAAAAAAAATAAAAATTAATAGATATACATCCAAGCACATGATCTCCATCATAGAATATAAAAATAAGTCAAAGATGTTAATTTGTGTATAATTAAATGAGTAAACGACTTTTTCCCACCTAAAGTTTACCTTAATGACACTTTTTCATTGAAAAAGTTTTAAAATATCAGTTTTTTATTCAACGTTTATCTTTCGTTAATACCCAAAATATACTTCACTTTTTTAGTCGGCGTTTGACGAGTTACTAAGAGCCAAGATAAGAAGGTTTTTGTAGAGTGGATGCCGGTAGATCAAATGGTCATGATTGATTGAATATTTGTTACCAGAATCAGCCGGAAATCAACTAAGAACAAAAAAACCATAGCTTTGCGGTAGACGACAATCGACAAGAAATCATGTGTCGGAGTGAAAGAGGTTTTATAGAAAGGAGAACGGGGGTTTAAATAGTGGTGATTGAGAGAATTTTCATGACCATAATTGACTTTGAATAGTAATGAAATATAAATTTTGGGTGGAAAAATGGTATTTTGAAACTTTTTAAGTGGGAATGTGTCATCAAGGCAAACCTTGGATAGAAAAAGTCGTTTACTCTGATTAAACCAATTAATGTATGCTTAGGCAAATGATTTACGACAATGAAGGGTCGTGGTCAATAAAAATGACTATATAGCAGTATCAATGTTTACACGCAGCCAATAGTAAGCGTTGATATTTGTTGTGATTCTTCATGATATATAATCAATAGAAAAATTGACGAAGCATTTATTTTAATGCTACATTTCATAATTATTCATTAAAACAATTCGTATTAGCTACAATTTTTTTATTTTTTTATTTGGAAGATGAATTTTTGTAAAATTTCATTATAAAATATGTGAGCGGAAAACAAAAGGAAATTACCCTTGTAATGAGGCATAGAATCCTAGATGCTGTCGAGTCGGTGGGGAAGTTTCTTGATGTTTAAGCAATAAAATGGAATCAGTCATCTTCTCAATCTTGTCTTTAACAAATTAAGGCTACTTATAGTCATATAATTTAGCAAGTTACCGCGTAAAATTCTACGTTGACCAATGAAATATCAACTCCCTATTTATTGATTTGCAAAAACAACCCAGTTGAAATTTTCTATGCGTAAAACCAAGATTTAAGCTGCCTCTTTCCAATCCAACGTGCATTGAGCATTGAAATTTCACTTCCCTTTGTTATTTACATAAAATAACATCTGACTCTTCACCGGGATAGAACAAAATCTCTTTTCTGTTTACTCTTAAATACTAGTTTTTAGAATCTGCAGGGTAATCAATCGTAGATATACATTTATTTTAATTAAATGCCTCTCTAACAATTAATATCTCCAGGTTTATATGCATATGTCCTGGACCATCAGGACAAACTATTTATCTATGGTTATTATAAGATGATTGAAGAAGCAATACAAGAACAAAAACATCAAGAAATAACTAAATTGTTATATTTTGACCACCGCCTCAAGTGTGGGGCTTTTACCATTATTAGTTTTATATTTTCTTAATTAATTCGTTAATCGTTGGAAAACACACCGATTAAGTACGTTCAAATCTACTAGTTTATAAGAGGAGGTAATATTTTCATTCAATAAGATCTTATTGGATAAAGAGTCAGACTTATCTCAATTTCTATTATGAGATCAGAGCTAGGTCTAGTTGAACTAAGTGCTTAATTGGTGGGTGAAGAGTTAAAGTTAACAATTACCTCCATCAACATGTATGACTTAATATATGGTTTGACTGTGAGCAAGAGTGTTGGAATCTCACATCGACTTAGTATGTTCAAGCTTACTTATTAAGTGAAAAGTCAGGTCCACCTCTATTTCTATCATTAATCTGACAATTTAGTGGATGAAGATTTGGTAACACCTCCTTTTAAGATAATGTGGATCCAAATCCATGGAAAAAATTGGAAACACCGCATAATTCAGACCTTCTTTCTGGTAAACACCCTGCATTAGATTTTATAAAATTAGAGTTATCATGATTCATGAAGTTAACTGGTTTAAATATGAACTTGAACTAAACTAAAACTTTAGATTCATGAAGAATCTAATTAATTTTACAATAACCAGAAGGCCTTAAACTAACACTTTCTCTTATATAGAGTCTCAATTTCCAGTGAGGTGGCCCTGATTTTAACTCAGCAAAATCCACCACAGCTTTCCTAGAGATCTGTAATCCAAAGTATTGGGAAAAAATAAAAAGAATTAACCTAATACAGCTCAGCAATTGTTTCTAAACTATGTGTGCAACTCTCCTATCAATGGAAGACGACTGTTCATAGATATTCTAAAAACGTCATTCATCTGTTTCGAAACAAATTTAATTTTTAGGTAATTTTAAAATTTAATAACCCTCCTCTTTTCCGGTCAAAGTTGAGGTTTTAATTATTTATGAATTGAGCAATCACCAAAGAAGTATTAAACTTAATTTAAGCAAACGGAATGAGCTTAATTTAAGCACACGGAATGAGCTTAATTTGTCATTACCATTATGTAGCCTCGAAATGATCAAGTTAAAGAGACAAAAGATCTTCATTTAATTAATATTAAGCTGGTGTAAGGAGTTTACTGAAATATGAAACCGCGGAGCTGGGTTTGAATTTTTAAGATAATCTTAATAAGAAAAGAAGACCACGGAAAATTGGAAACACGGCATAATTGACCACACGTTTTTCTTTTTGTGTAATAGTAATGGTTTTTAATCCTCCGTAAGCCGGTTTACTTTTAGTATAAATAGCCAGCTGGTGCAGCTTAAGATCATCACAAAACAAAGAAGTGAGGCAACCTGAGAACACAAAAAGAAAGAGATCAACAATGGGTACAAAAAATATGGGTTTTATTTTAGGGCTTATAGGTTTCTTGTTCCTCGATGGACTTCTCCTTTGCATGGCTCGTGAAGTCCATCATTATGATTTTGTCGTAAGTGCTTATTGCTTAATTTCAGTTTGTGTATGAATAGTAAGATATATAGTAATTAATAAAAATGTTGAATGGTATTGTTGGTGTGGTTAATTGCAGCTTCAAGAAGCCAATTTTACGAGGCTATGTAGCACAAAGAGCATGTTGACTGTGAACGGCAGTTTCCCAGGTCCAACAATTCAGGCTCGTAGAGGCGACACCGTGTTCGTTAATGTCATCAATCAAGGGAGATATGGTGTCACAATTCACTGGTAATTATAAACGACTCCCTCTTTACCAATCATGAAATGATGAATCAGAAATCCTGAAATGCTAAAGAAATTTTCTATCCATTTATGCAGGCATGGAGTGAAGCAGCCAAGGAATCCGTGGTCAGATGGTCCTGAGAACATAACGCAATGTCCAATTGCAGCAGGAACCAACTTCACTTATGAGGTGATTTTGTCCGATGAAGAAGGAACCCTTTGGTGGCATGCCCATAGTGATTGGACTCGTGCCACAGTCCATGGCGCCATTATTATTTTACCTGCTGTTGGAAAAACTTATCCATTTCCTACGCCTTACAAGGAACAGACAATCATACTAGGTATATATTAATCTTATTTGATTTTACTTATATTGTAATTAATGACTTGATTTTGTCTGCTTCCTTAATTTATTAATAACTTGTAATTTTTCACTAATCAATGTATTTGGCAGGTTCCTGGTTCAAGGCAGACGTAATGGCGATGATACAAAATTCTATCGAAACTGGCTCCACACCCAGTAACTCTGATGCTTTCACAATCAATGGTCAACCAGGGGACTTATATGAGTGCTCTAACGGTACAAAAACTCTAAAAAATACTCTATATATTATTGGTTAACTGCAATTTTAAAATACGGTATAAGTTTCGATAAATATTAATGGTATATAATTCATTATTTAAAAAATACTCTAAAAATTCTTTACACTTTTGTTATATTATTTGTCTTTTTTTTTTTTTGTGTGTGTGGAAGTGTTACAGTGTATAAAATATATATATATTCTCTAATTTGTTAAATGTTTCAAAGCATGCCTTTGACATTAATTTTTCATATAGATCTACAGAATTAATACGGCACACAATAATAAAGTAAAATAGAAATCGTTTAATTAATTAGTTATAATTAATGATGCGACATTAAAAGATAACGTTACTAATTAATTTGTATTCTTTGAAATATTACTGTACAAAAATTTATGTTATGATATAGCTCGCTAACGGTTACAATAATCTAATATTGCAGAGACAACATATCGATTACCGGTTCAATCTGGCAAAACTTATCTTCTTCGCATTGTAAATGCTGTGATGAATGAAGAACAATTTTTCGGAATCGCAAACCACAGCCTCACTGTTGTTGCGCAAGATGCAGCATACATAAAACCAATAAACACCACTTATATAATGATAACTCCTGGACAAACAATGGACGTTTTGTTCACCGCAAACCAGAATCTCAACCACTATTACATGGCTTCAACTCCTTACGTCGATAGCGGTATTCGATTTCCCAACACCACCACCACAGCCATTGTTCAATATGAAGGCAACTATTCTGCCTCTTCATCTCCTTTCTTCCCAACCCTTCCAAGTAACACTGACATAGATTCTGCACAAAACTTTACTAACCAAATAAAGAGCTTAGCCAGTAAAGAACATCCAATCAATGTTCCCAAAAATATCAGCACGCGAATCTATATAGCAGTTTCTTTGAATCGGTTGTTGTGTGTCAACGACTCATGTGATACCGGAACTGGTGATAGACAAGCCGCCAGCTTAAATAATATCAGTTTCGCGACTCCTCAAATCGATATACTGCAAGCATACTACAGGTGCAGGCTTAAACATGAACTTCTGATATTACTTTTTTTAATTGACCCTGAAAAACAAGCTTATGTTCAGATGTAGTCCAAAATTGATGAACACCAGTATTCTTTCATAATATGAGGTTTACCTAAACTATATACACTGCTGTTAGTGGTGATTAGTAAAAAGGATAAACACACGAAATAAATTTTAATCACAAATGGTTATAAATGTACACGTGTCACTAGATCGTAAAAGTTCAGTAGAGTTCAGATCACTAGAGGATCCTTATTCAATTGATGATATTCTAATACCTTTGTTCTTGTAGGAATTTGACGAACGGAACATTCGACCGTGATTTCCCAAACGAGCCACCGAATTTTTTCAACTTCACAGGAGATGTGTCAAACGTATCAGCGTTCACAACCCAAGGGACAAAGGCAAGGATGATAAATTATGGTGAAGTAGTGGAAATTGTCCTCCAAGGGACTAGTCTCGGGAATGCAGCTTCAAGTCATCCAATACATTTACATGGTTTCAGCTTCTATTTGGTTGGAACGGGTCCAGGAAATTACAACAACGTGACCGATCCACTCTCTTATAATTTGGTTGATCCACCAGAAGTTAACACCATTAACCTTCCAAGAAATGGATGGGCTGCAATTCGGTTTTTAGCTGACAATCCTGGTAACATCTCAGCCATAGATAATCAAATCGTTTGTTCTTATAATTATAAACAATGACAAAATTTTGTGGCTCCATCTAATGTTTATGATTCTTAATTTCTTTTTCAGGAGTGTGGTTTATGCATTGTCATTTGGAAAGGCATTCAACATGGGGTATGGACACAGTTTTCATTGTGAAGAATGGGCGTTACAGCAACCAGAGCATGCTGCCACGTCCCGCTTACATGCCTCCTTGCTCTTAATTAATAAAGTGGCCTTAGCTTCTACTTAATTAAAAGATTTCGATTTTAGTAATAATTGACAAAACATAAATAGTGTTTTGTGATAAATAATTTGTATTTGTATTGATGGGACCATCATTTTTTTTAATGAAATATAAAATATTCTCTTATTCTTGAAATCTGTAAGCCATATATAGTTGCGTTTGCGTGCCTTAGTAGCTGACGACTTTCTATTTAATATGTATAATTTACAGAACTAGTTGATAAATGTTAAAGGATTAATCAGATCATTAATTGTTAAGAGGACGATCCTTTGTTTAGATTAATGGATAAATTGTCATCATATTGATCATATCTTAGACATCATATTGCAAATTAAAGGGCGAAATGAAAGTCAACCATAGATGTCCTGGGGATAAAGTAACAAGTTGGAATAATTAAAATACTATTCTTTTAATTAATTTTATAAAGGTCAACCCCTCATCGGTAATTCGGGTCATCCAATGTAAGACTCTGGTACTCAATAATCTATTAAAATTAACGTTGATTGCGAGGAATGGTTCCTTTTATAGCTGGAGACTGGAGTCAAAATTTTATTTTATTTTTTTTGTGGTTCTTGATTGATGTTAAATAAGTCTTGCCTATTTACTAAATAAGCCCCAGTTCCTATATAAATTAGGGTAAGATTTTAATTTAATTGTTTATGTTTACTAAAACTGAAAGAATTTAATTGTTTATGTTTACTAAAACTGAAAGAAACTATCACCATCTCATAAGTAGAAAGAAAATCCAATAATAAAACAAAATTGTTAAGAGACGAATAACACCGTAAAAGTTTTAACAGTGAATTTTGACATCTTGTAGTTGAAATTATTTTGATCAATGCCCTAATAAAATAGATTCGTTTCAAATCCCATCATCGTCAATTAATACAACGCAACGCGGGATAATTATTATAAAACTTTATAATTATATTTATCTTAGGCTTCTATATCTTCATTTAATTGAAAGGACGCCATGAAATTTATGTATTTAATTATAAAACATGGAGGTGATCACGTAAGGAGAAGTCAGGAAGCATGTGGCTTGGTCGGTCGGCAATGCAATACACCAAGCTAGCTAGCTGGCTGAGATGAGTCGATTTGATATTCCAGATCTTGGACAAGGAATGTTAACAACTACCTGTGACGGCTTTGTAATATCCAACATTTATATGAACAAATTAACACGAGAATTCATGTTTTAAATATAGATAGCTACCATTTAAACCCTTCAAGGTTTGGCTAAATCTAACAAACCCCCTCAAGTATGAGTAATAACGTTAAACCCCTTACCTTTAGTCACTTTTCGTTAGTTTTAACATTTAAAAAGACAAAAGAGTAAAGTATTCGTTTGATTTGATTGGGTTGAATTCGTTTCATTGGCTATGGCTTTCAGTTGTATGTTGAATTTGAGTTTGATTTCTTGATTGAATTTTACTTGGGCTATTCACTGAATCACATTATTGGGCATGGGTGGTAAGGGTATTAAGGTCAATTACCTTATTTATGTTAAAACAAACGGAAAGTGACTAATGGCAGAAGGTTTAGTATTATTACCCGTACTTGAAGGGCTCCGTCAATTAGGGGAAACTGTAGGGGGTTTAAAGTGATTATTTACATCTGCGCTGGCATACCGTCTTACAAGGGATAAAGACAAAAGGATATATTATTTAGAGAGTCAAAATTGAAAACAGTCATTGATGCAAATTAAAAATTGAGAGAGTTGTGGTAATGGATCATTTCCTTAAGTTTTAAAAATGGTAACCAGCTCACACTGTAGCAACGTTTTAACTCCTACAAGTTTTGTTTAATCTTTCTCTTCATGGAACCATTCTTTGTTTCGTATGCGTGGCCATTGAACCAACCAGTGTATTCCAATAAAAAAATGGGAAAAAGAATGAATCTCAGTGGCTATTAGGGCTCTTACTTGATCGGACAATTCTAAAATTTTGAAAGATTGATTGAGATGTATACAAATTTGTTTGAATGCATCCGATAATAAAATAAAATAAAAATGAATCCCACGAATTTGTCAAAAATTAAACGACTAATTTTATTGAACTCATTCCATGTGGCCCGGATAAGAAAAGAATAAAAATTTACTTAATTGTAATAAATATAAACATAAGTCAAGCACAAATTATTATTGTTATTATTATTATTTTGGTAAGTAAGTAATATCATTAAAAGAGAGTAAGAATGTACAGAGAGATCATAAAAACCGACTATCCTACCTCAAGACAAACCTTGGAAAAGGAACAAAAACACAAACCTAATAGATTGAAAACCTAATCTCCTTTTGTTTGCCTATCTTAAACACACAAAGGAGAGGAGACAAGAAGAGATGAGCAAATAAAGAAACACAAAGATAAAAACATTCTATCACAGGCAGTGGCGGATCCAGCCACTTTTTGGGTGGGCCATAATTTTTTTTTTTAATATTAATATGTAAATTTATATATTTTGGCCCACCCTAAAAAAAAATATTAATAAACAAAAATAGTAATGTATAATAAATTTTTATTTTGGCCCACCCTAAAAGAAATTCCTGGATCCGCTACTGATCACAGGACATGCCTTGGGATAAGATTAAAAAAAAAACCTAAACAAGACTAAGAACAACAATTCACAATATCATTCCTATCTCAGGACAAGCTTTGGGTTAGGAAAACTCATGTTCGTCACATGTTGTGCACATAGAATAATTGAAATTTATTGGAGACAATAATTCTTGGCGTTATAAATGATTCAAAATTATAAACAATGTTAATTGATCATTACTGGAAATTATTGTAAAGAAGCAAGAACGTGCAATAGTTAATTGATTTATAAAATTTCTCGTCGTCTGGTCGTGCAATAAACAAATTAGAAATTCGGAGTTATGTGCAGTCAGACAGAAGGTAATATATATCTGATAATTGTTGTCTCTATATTGTAAGTCCCATTTGCTGGTTAAAAAATAAAATAATTATATTTGAACATATCAATATATAGGTACCACCTTTACTATATTTTGTATTTAATATGTGTTGAAAAATGTAGACTTCCATCAAATGATGTCAATGAATGTTAAAATACAAATTGTTGCAATTATTAACAGTTTAAAACATTACAAACTTCGACAGAAGAGACTATATATAATTATATACCTGTATAAACATTTATCCCTTATGTTTAGTTTGGATTATTACAACTACTAATATTTTAATTTGTTAAATCTATCTCTTGTCCAATAATGAGTAGTTACAAAATAGTTTAATAATTCAATTTAGCAACTTTATCTTAGTTGACCACGAATGTTTCTTCTTTCTCATAGTATAAATAGCTCCATTGATGCAGCTGAAAATGTCAGAAAAGAGAGTTGATTGGCAACCTGGGAACACAGAATCAAGAGAAGAATGAATACAAGAAACATATTTTTCATTTTAGGTTTCTTGTTTCTGGATGGGCTGCTCCAATGCATGGCTCTAAGGAAAACTTATGACTTTGTTGTAAGTGCCTCTATATTTTTCATTTACATATTATGATACCTTTAGATCTGATTTTATACTTACCTTCATTGCAGCTTCAAGAAACGAATTTTACAAGGCTGTGTAGCACGAAAAGCATGTTGACTGTAAATGGCAAATTCCCAGGCCCAACCATCAAGGCTCGTAAGGGAGACACCATTTTTGTTAATGTCCACAATCAAGGAAACTATGGCGTCACCATTCACTGGTGATGACTCCTTCTCTCACAATCTCTTTTTAAATCATTAGATGGAGAATCAGAACTTTGAAAAGAATCTGAAGAATTTTGTTTTAAATTCTGCAGGCATGGAGTGAATCAACCAAGGAATCCATGGTCAGATGGTCCTGAAAACGTTACACAATGTCCAATTAAACCAGGAACCAAATTCACTTACGAGGTGATATTCTCCGCTGAAGAAGGAACCCTCTGGTGGCATGCCCACAGTGACTGGACTCGTCTTTCGGTTCATGGTGCTATTATTATTTTACCAGGTCCTGGAAAAAGTTATCCATTTCCTAAGCCTTATAAGCAAGAGACAATCGTACTTGGTAATAATATGAATGTATTTTAACTACGATAACAATATTGCTGGAGATGTGGTAACCATTCTCAGCTACTGATTTCATTTTTCAATTTGATCGTATTGGCAGGATCGTGGTATAAGCAAGACGTGCCGGAAATGCTCACTAATGTCCTGAAGGGCGTAATTCCAAATGTTTCAGATGCTTATACCATCAACGGCCAACCTGGGGACTTATACAATTGCTCCAATGGTAAATATACGATTAAAATATTTCATGTTAATTTGTATTTTGAGTTCTCATATATAAAATTTACTCACGAGTATCATTTTATGTTTCAGATTCAACATATCGCCTGAAAGTTAAGTTTGGTAAGACTTATCTTCTTCGCATAATCAACGCTGTGATGAATGAAGAAAACTTTTTCGGAATTGCGAACCACACCCTCACTGTCGTTGGGCAAGATGGAGCATACATAAAACCGATAACAACCGATTACATTTTGATAACTCCTGGACAAACAATGGACGTTTTATTCACAGCAAACCAAAATCTTAGCCACTATTACATGGCTGCTAGTCCTTTCTTTGATAGCGTTGTCGCTTTTGACAACACTACCACCACAGCAATTGTTCAGTACTATGACGGCAAATATACTCCTCCTCCTACTCCTTTCTTCCCAAACCTTCCTTTTTACAATGATATAAATGCTGCAATAAACTTTACTAACCGCGTAAAGAGCTTAGCAACTGACGCATATCCGGCCAATGTCCCCAAAAATATCACCACGCAATTGTATATTACAGTTGCTCTAAATCGTATTTTGTGCCCCAACAATTCTTGTCTTTCGCCAACTGGTGATGGGCCACTTGATAATAAGCAGTCTTCAAGCTTAAACAACGTTAGTTTTGCGACTCCTCAAGTTAGTATACTTGATGCATACTACAGGTCTGTTACTTTTTATAGCTGTTTTCTTATTTGTTCTTCTCGAGCCCTGATTTTGTGACTCATTATTATCAAACATTTTGAAATATAGGGGGTTGAGCAACGTTTTTGTTGGAGATTTCCCAAGTCAGCCGCCCAATTTTTACAACTTTACTGGTGATGTTTCGGGCGTATCACTATTCACAGAGAGCGGGACGAAGGCGAGGTTCATAAATTATGGTGAAGCAGTTGAAATTGTGTTCCAAGGAAGTAATCTCCAGTTCGCAGAAACCCATCCTTTGCATTTACACGGTTACAGCTTCTTTGTGGTCGGAACAGGTTTTGGGAATTTCAACAATGAGACAGATCCTTTATCTTATAATTTGGTTGACCCACCAGAACTCAATACTGTGAACGTTCCAAGGAGTGGATGGGTTGCCATTCGATTTTTCGCTAACAATCCTGGTAAGTGTCCGTGTATTTGGTGGCACGTCAATTAACTTCACATACTCGAATCGTATAATAATGCCTTTGCATTTAGGAAATTAAAAAAAAAAATATAATATTTGGACTTTATATCTAGAATTTGTCAACATCACATTGGTTATAATAGTAAAAAAGATACAAAAAAATTGATTGTCATATCAGTTAGATTATTTATAGAGTTGAAATATATTATCAGTGTTGAATTATTATGTGGCAAACTGTCTCCACCACAAGAATCGTTGAAAGGATTTTTGTTTTCTTTTTAAAAATACAGGAATAAAAATTTGTTGCAATCAAATTTTGACCAACGAAACTGATCATTAAATGGATTTTTAAGTTTGGGGTACAAATCTCGATGATGCTTTGTCTTAAACTCGATTATGTTTTTGCCGATGGATTATAATATTAAAATTTCTCCAACTTTACTGATTTTTAACTTTTTTCAGGAGTGTGGTTTATGCATTGTCATTTGGAAAGGCACGCAACCTGGGGCATGGATACAGTTCTCATTGTAAGGAATGGGCAGTCCGAGGATCAGAAAATTCGACCACCTCCTGCCAACATGCCATCTTGTTCTTAAGCCATTTGTATTATTCCTTTTTTTTTTTTTTTAGTGTCATTCATATTTTAATTATTTGGGAATCATTCATTTCTTGTGGGAAGACTTAAATAATCAACATAATGTATGAAAGGCTGCCTGGCCGTGCAATGTTCGCTAGGACAAGTTACACTCTTGGCGTCGACGCTGCTAAGCATCAGAATATCATACATATTAGGAAGAGATTTTGTCGCGACGAAAGAAGTGACGTCGCAGACATGTTGTGGTGATAAATAATGTTTTTTGATGGTTTGTTTAATAAATGGAAGGCTTTCATTAATTGCGCAAATCTCCTTTCTCTTGGCAATTATTAATTCAATTCATTACGATAGAACGAAGATAAATACATTTAATTTCTTTGTTAAATAGTTAAAACTTGTCTAGAAATACATCATTTTATTGCGCAATCGTGTGACTAAAATATGTAACCAAAAACTTCAGTGGTTGTTGAAGCAATTGTTCAATATGAAGGCAATTATTTTTTCCCCTTCATCTCCTTTCTTCTCAACTCTTTCAAGTAACACTGACATAAATGCTGCACAAAACTTCACTAACTGCATAAAGAACTTAGCAAGTAAAGAGCACCCGATCAATGTTCCACAAATTAAATATCAGCACCAATCTATACATCAGTTTCTTTGAATCAATTGTGAAAGGAAACTGCTATATTACTACGTTGTCCAGCTTGAGGGAGGATGTTCATGTAATCTCAGAAGAATCCGAGAAGACTTAATTACTGCAGCAACTCAAAATGAAGATTCAAAGTGCTGTAGTTTTGTTTAAAAGAAGAAGAAATGAAGAAAGAGAGCCGCTGGGTATTTTGAATGTTAGTTAGATTAGGTAACGGTAACTTCAAACCGCAAACGTTACGGCGAAGTAGTTAAAATTCTGTTTTTACAACGGAATTCAAGTCCGCCGTTAGGTACCGTTAGTTTGTATTTTACTTAAAAAAAAAACTCTGCGTTTTGATAATAGAAGCAACTTTGTATTGTATTTAAGAATTATCGAAAAAATAACAATTCATCAGTTCTCATTTTTTCTCTGTTTTCTCTTTTACTCCTAAGTTCTTCATTAAATTCTCAGTGTATTATTCTTAATTTGGTTTATGCATTGTTATAATTTTGTTGCCTCCTTGTTCTTAATTAGTCATATGCTTAATTAACTAAGTTGCCTTTAGCTTTTACTAAAATGATTTTGATTTTAGTAATATAGGGAAGTGTTGATACATAAATCTGCACCAACCAGCGAGATTTGATTAATCTTGTCGGGATCAGAACTGATGTGTGCGTGATTACGGGTAATTAGTGATGGATGAATGGAAATGCCAAAAAATAAGTGACAAAGAGGACTTTTAAAATGGTTTGGCGAAGTTAAACTGCCTACGTCCACTGTGTTTTGCTTATATGCTGTGAGAGCTTACAATATAGTTTTAATCTAGAATTCATATCCCTCTCCTCATCGTTTTAAGGGGTATATATACAAGATTTACATAAAGAAAAGAACGAAAATAAAGGGATTACAATTGATTGGAACTGCAACTTTGATATTCTCGCGATTGGGCGCTATAATAGCGCAAAGATTGATGTTAATCTGATCGTTCCCGTAATATATTGGATCTGAAGTTATCAGGGAATCGATTGAATGATCATTCAGGTTGTCCGCGACTAGCTTGTGTTGGGTCGAGCTACGACTCGACGAGCTTATGCTGGGTCGATCAATCATAGTCACCAAGGTCATTTTGGGTCGAGCTATATCCTCGCGCCAGCCTGAGTTTGGCAGAAAAACCACACACAACATCTACCCTCTAGTGTTTGATGCTCGTTTCGGGCTTTAAAGACTATCGCTCGATCTGACGCCTAGCTCGACTTCAATAGTGAGTCTTTGAGAGCATGCTCGAATCGGGCTTCCACGACCGACCTTATGTCTGGTCGACGTTCCTCACACTTGGACATTATTACCTATGCCACCTATCAAAACTCATAATACAGAAAGTCAGTGTATAAATGTAATTTCCGCGTGGTCATGTTGCATTAAATGCGGCAACCTTTGTCAGTTAAGTTTCGTTGCGCGTGGATGAAGACAGTTATTACTCGCGAAGTTGAGACGTCGTGCGACAATGATTATCATTTTTTATGGTTTGTCGCACCTTGTGGATGGTCGACACGTGGCCATGTCCAAGGGTTGAGATCGCTCAACGAATGAAGGGCTAGGATTGATTGTGAGTCGATGGTCGAGATTTAACTTTGCCCTTTCGTCTTCCATGCAAAAATCACTATAAAAGGTGGCGAATATTCAGAACAGTCATTCTGAAAGTTTTTCCACCCTCCTGCTTTTCCTTGTCGTTGCTCTCTCGTCGTCACAGTGGTCTTTCTTAGGAGTTCTCAGCACGCTTCTTTATTTCGGTAAGATTTCTTTCTCTTCTTTGCTCATTTTTCTGACTTTTGTGCTGCTAAAAGGTGGCTGCTGTAGTGGCCACATTGGTTGTTTTGAGATTTTAGTAGGGTTTTTGGGGTACGTTTCCGGTGGTCTTGGGTTTTGAAGGGGTTTAATTGCGATGGCCGCCGATGTCCTGGGTAGGTCGCGTGACCTCGTTATGTTGCGCAAGCTACTTTGGGTGCCTGAGATGGAAACGAATGTGGAATGGTTGCCGAGTTGTTCGAGCTCTAACATGTGTTCGCTTATATTTTCAAGTACCTAGAGTTGAGCTTTAACCATGTCCTCGTCTAGCAATCGCACAATGGATCGAATGTTTGATTCACCAGTTGGCTTGGCAGTACTGGGGGACGTGTCCCCCAAGATATTTGAAGAGTTTGTTACCAGAAGCTCGGACCCCGATGCTACGGGTTTGTCTGACCGTGCTTTGATCCAACTAGCTCAATCGCTGCCGTCTTCAGTTCACAGGCTATGGAAAGAGCCCCAATCCTCGATCACCCTTGGAGATCTTAAACACATCAGGCTGGCCTATGCGCTACAGCTCAACTTGATGACCCTGGGGGAACACTCTTGGAAGAACCCTCTAGTCGGATGGGTGGAAACTTCCAAGACTCTCCTCAGGTGCGAGGTATCCATCCCCCCGCACCTTTTTATCGATAAAGTGTTGAGGAGATTCGACATCGCTTCTCTCCAACTGACGGCCAACTCTTACTTGATCATTATCGGGGTATACATCGCGTACATGATCGTTGAGCTAGGCGAGCCGTCCGTTGAAAAGCTTGTACACCTGTACAGGCTCAAAAAAGGGCAAAGCCAGACGTATTACCGTTCCAAGGCGAGGAAAGTAAGTTTCAAAGGGCTGATCTCAAAGAAGGTCTCGCATTGGGACTCCTAATTCTTCTTCTACGAAGCTGGGATGAGCAGTGTCTTTGCTCTAGAAGCGAGTAAGGCTTTGGTCGCTCGTGTACACGAGGACAAATTATGAACTTTGCTTCATTATTCAATCGAATTTTTTTGTTGTAGCTAACGTCAAGCAGAACTATCTCCCTACAGCGAGCTTGCAAAGGTTGCGACGTTTTAGTGATCTTCTCGACAGTTCGTGCAACGTCCATGAGCTTCTTACTCTTCGTCATCTAAAGGCGTACAACTTTTGTAGGGACGAGGCCAGATTTTTAGCGCTATTGGAAAAATGCAAGTCGTTGCTTGCTCGCGTTTGATTTCCCGTGCAAATTGATCGCTAACTTGTTTTCCTTTTTCTTTGCAAAATGTGGGCTGAAAAACCCAAGAGCCTTAAGAAAAAAATGACAGCGTCGACGATTGCCCAGAAGGCGTCGACTACCTCGGTGACAAAATAGCTAGCAGATGTTACTGGCACGAAGTGTGCTAGAGGGGAGTTGGCGGAGGGTCCAAGCACGAAGAAATCTATGACCGCCTCTTAGTAGGCTCGAGAAAAGGTAAAGTACCCCAAGCAGCATGATGGCTCAGGGAAGAAAAAGGTGATTGAGCCTCAAGGCGGCTTGGGCAAAGAGGTCGCCACGCATGTTAGCAACTTCCAGAAAAACGCGGCCAAGAAGAAGCTTACGCTTGCAGGTACGGCAGCTGCTCCAAGGGGGAGTAGACCTGGCCCGTCCAAGCCAAAGGATGAGGGGACGGGCAAGGCGATCGAGGCTGAAGTCGATGCCCTGAACGACCAACTCCCTAGTAACTTGATGGACGACGAGCTGTGAGTCACTATAGATCTTGATGGACTTTGCCCCCAGTTCTCTGGTAAGACGAAGACCTATTAGCAATGCCTCATATTCAGCTTTGTTATTGGAGACGTTGAACCCGAACCTTATTGTAGCCCTGATTAGATCTCCCTTCGGACTTTCAAGCAAGACATCCGCTCATGCCTTCTTCTCATTCGAGGAGCCATCTATATACATGGTCCATAGCCATAAATCACCACTATGAGGTTGCTGTTGCTCGATCTTTTCTGAGGTATCTATCTTTGGCAGGCTTGGCTCGGTGTCTGGCTGATAAGAGAACTTAGATATAAAGTTCGCCACGACTTGGCCTTTGATTAACATCATCGGGATGTACTTAATGTCGTGCTGCCTCATCTTTATTGTCCACTGGATCAATCTACCCAATGCCTCAGGCTTCTGCATTATTTTCTTCAAAGGGAAGTTCGTCAGTACATGGATGAAGTGTGCCTGAAAATAGGGTCTTAACTTCCTTGCGACAATGTAACACCTGCTTTCTACTACTATTCATATAATGCATACTATGCAAATTATAGATAGACATAGCGTATGGAAGATAGTGGGCTCAAACTTTTCTTTACTCATAAAATATATTTCTTTACATATACAAAATACTATGTATTAAAAACTTTCTACGTAATACAAAATATCATAGCTGGTGGATAGTGGTGCCAATACTCTTCGCTCCTCGACGTCCATCCGACCGTTGCTCCTATTTCCTGCAAAACAGAGAAGAACAACGGGGTGAGCACAACAATGCTCAGTAAGTAAATCCTCTACTACCTGTCCCCGCAACTCACTCTTTGGTTCTTTCCTTACTCTACTGTTCTTCTATTTCTATTTCTCACTATTTTCCTCTTTCTTTCTAATACTGTTATTCTCCTTTAACTCTGTTCTGCTCTTTTTTCTTTCTCTCTATTCTTTTTCTCTTATTCTTACTCACCATGAAGGATGATCATGGTTCTCTCTTATTCTCATTATACTCACCATGAAGGAAAATCATGGTTCTCTCTTATTCTCATTATACTCACCATGAAGGAAAATAATGGTTCTCGCCTGTATAAGTTCTACATGCAATTAATACAAAAGAACTGCATGTTTCTTCTTCTACTCTCTATTCTTATTAGCTC